GGAAAACAATATCAGTAACATACTAATTAGTCACATTTGCTTCACTGATACCTACTCCAGCGCAGATGTTAATGTATTTTTACGATGACAATTTTGTTTTAAATACGAACGTGTATCGATAAAATGGTGCAATGTGAAAATGATATCATTAGTAACCTTCGTATTTCGACGTTTATGATAGAAAAAAGAGATATTTACGTCGAATTATAATTTCATTTGGAAATGATCTCATGACAATCTTTCCATTAATGTTGTTACAGTTTTATTAAATTCCAAATTGCTACAATTATTCTAAGCTTTTGACTGTTTTCGTATCTAAGCGGTATGATTTTTCATTGTTATTTTTAGATTTCTTTAAAATTCGTTTTAAAATTTCGAAAGGAATAAGTTTATTTATGGGATTAACCACAACTAAATCTGCAGGTTTAAAAAAAAGTTAGAGGCGCAAGTCACACAAACGGGGGATTCATGTTCCTTCTTCACACCATCTTAGAAGACATAATTAATAATATTGTTTGCTGCAATTTGTTACCCAAATTAACAATTACTTCAATTCAATGGACAATAGAATAAATTTACCATGCATATTTTTCTGTAAGTATCGCAAATTCGAAGAATCCATCAATTAGGAGTGAACATAACGCCTCGTAGTGTACCTGAGTGGAGGATATGAGCTCGATAACGTACGTACAAAGACTAAGTTAAGTACAAATCATTTGGAATATCTCCAAAATGTATTAAAAGAGCTGATTAATTAGCACTTATCCCTATTTTCCAGTAATGAGATCTGGTACTTGATCTGGTACCTCTATAGACATAATATTATGAGGCGTCCTCTGCATTTTTATATAAAGGCTTTGGTTTATAATTACCAAAACTTTTAACTATGGAAATTTGATAAATTCTATTAGATATGGGTCGTTTTCAAAATTTGACCATAGCATAATATCATACATCTTGGCCAAAAATAGACTTTCATTCATTCGCATTGTAATCGCAATGCTTCCAATGGAGAGCGCAAATTTCAACACTTTTGGACGTATGCGAAGATTTATGTTGTTATTTTTGCTAATTACAGTTTAAATAAACATTTTGTGTTTAACTTATTTATCACATTGATTTATAAAAGTGTCATTATTATCTGTATTTTTACGCGTTTATATTTTATTGTATGGTCGTCGCCAATTTGGACGTTCCTGAACATCTAATGCGTGATGTTTATGTAAATGTCAATCACTATTCGATAAGATTATCACATCAATTTGTATGTAATTAGTTTCTACTTGTTTAATGTTTTTTTTAACTGATTTCACTGTCTTGCTTTACCCAATCGTGTCCATCGCTCGGATATTCCTCATTCCTCTTCTTTTCGGATACTTCATCAACTTGATTTCTCCATGATTTTATGGCCTTCTCCTTTTCTTATTCCCCAAAAGGCTTCATTCCGTATATTTCTTATCCACCTGCTATTGGCGACGCTTCTAACATTATCGTACCATATGATTTTCTCTTTAATATGTGATTACTTTGTATTCCCATATTCCACCTTTTTTCTTTGTTTTTTCATATCTCTACTCCAGTGGTTTCCAAAATTTTTTCATTGGCGTCCCTTTTCTGAAAACAAAAAAAAGTACCTACTTATTAAAAAATAAGAATACATCTTATTACAGTTTTTTTTTTCATTTTCACTATGGGGACTGATTAATTTTCCCTTTCAAAGTTTCTTGTAGCTCTACAAATAACGCAGTTATGACAAAAAAAACCGAGAAATGTCATTTTCGAGCATGTGCTGGCGTTCATTTATATTCATAGATATCAAATTACGTTATAAGGTTGTAATAGTGCGCAGTACAGGTGAGTAGAAAAATTGCGCACTGTGCTACGAACCTGTAACACGCTAAATTACAACCGAATTACGTACCATACTTTTTCTACGACCTCCGTGAATTTCAAAATGAAAATAACGCAAAACCCAAAACGACTCTGTTGACAGATTTGACATTTGTAGATAATTATCACTTACAAACGTACATGATCTATTCTAAATTTTTTCATTACGCACGGGTGTAGGTAATGGGTACTATATCACGCCTCTAAATTATACGTTATTACCTTATTTTCAGGGAGATCGTAGAAAAACATAATTTTAACACACGCTTAGTGATTTTTCCAGCTTTTTTATGCCGGTGCTAAAACAAAATTTTTATGAGCCATAAAATAATTTATTTTAGAATCAAGTCGTTTTTAGTTCATTCAAAAGCCGCATTTTTAACTAAACATTCACTATCAAGTGATGCATTTATTGTTGACCCCACTATCAGATACGAAACCAATGGTCGTGACCAACACCAAAATATTAAAAACGAAAAATCAAAAATATACGAAAAATGCATACCATTTTACGAAGGAAAATATAAGTATAAGAAATTGGTCAGATCTATGGTCTCTTTTTTGGAAGTAGAGGTTGCTGTGGAAACTCTGTGTTAAACTTTTTTCACAAATTTGAGATTGATCGCACAATATTAAATCAAATTTCGGAATCACTTTAATAAATCAACATCTGTACTTAAATTCAACGTAAATTTGTATATAGAATTATCTTATGTGATTGATTATTATATTGTGTATTTAAGCAACCCTCGTTATAAGGGCAGTTCCTTTATGTTTAAATAAATGTTCTCTTCGTCATTTAAAACAGACTTGTTGTCCTACCGGCGGCTTTGGCTGATAAAATTAAGGTATCGTATAATTCGTGTAGTTTTGAAAGTTGGTGTCGCTATTCCTTGGGGTGCCCAGGTGAACATACTGAAAGTCCTCATCTGAATGACAAACAGCAGCTTCGGCCAAAAAAGATCACTTTTACGGCCTTGGTACACAAATAACTATTTAGGCTATCATCACAAAAACGCTCTCTTTTGCGGCCATAAAGTTTCACTTTATTGTACGCTTCTGTCATACTTTACTTTATTGTACACATCTGTCAAACTGTACTTATTTGAAACTGATGTTTGAGAAACAGTAATCTGTTTGATACAAAGTGTCCATCTGGTCTCGCCCCATCAAGGATTGGACCAGTGCGTTTTTTTCATTTTCGGACTTGTAGGAATGTTTCACACCATTTTGCATAATCACAATGTTCACATTTAAAATTATAGTTTGACGTTTCAATCTTTGCTGCTTGCAGACCTTTTTGACCATTGTTGTTGCTTACATTATTATACGAAGAATCACCAGCAATTAACCGAAAACACAAGTAGCTACCTATACCTACCATCAAAGTAGGTAATCAGGTTTCTAATAATTGTACAGCATGTTAACTATAAGGTCTTGGAAGCCACAGTTACGAAGGACCTATTGCATTTGACATTATTAAAATCTTGTGCAGCGGAGGAAGTTGCGATTGTACTTTTACTCTCAAACGCCTGCTCTTATATCATATATGACTTAGGGTCGCAACGCTTGCAGCTTCCAAAATTTCATTTTGGGTAGGTATCTGAACTGTCGCTATCACCCATTTTGATACGCACAAAATACACGCAAAGATGCTAATTATAATTTATTACATATGACAGGAAATGCTTTGTTTTTAATTGTCTAAGATAACAATGATTTTCAGAAAAAATATGTTTATGAGCAAATTTTTGAATTCTTTTTTGATGATCGCCTAAAAAATGTTGTGTGCACCTTGGCCAAAAGTGATTTGTTAGGCCTCATCTGAATTGCGGCCTCGGCTACCGCCTCGGCCACAAACAGCAGCTTCGGCCAAAAAAGATCACTTTTACGGCCTTGGTACACAAATAACTATTAATAAAAATTTTAAGTTGCTATTCCGGTCCGTTATTTTCGTTTCCGTATGCCTAATATACACATCCAAAATTGGAACAAAATCCATCGAGCCGTTACGTCGCACGCACGTACTATACATACAGACAGAAATAGTTATTTTCTGAAACTACTTTATAAACAACTAGGTACTTTCGTCTCTAAAAAGGGGGAAGACAATGTGATTCTTCTCTCTAGTGAGGAAAGTAAAAAACAATTGCTCCGTTAATCTTAATAATGACATTTAATACTCTAACATACCTGTTACCCGTATCTAGATGAAACGCATAACGGAGAAGTTATTTTTTAAATAATTGTTAAACTTTTTTCGTTAAAATGTACTATGATTTTTGAGGCACTTTAGAAGTTCACCTTTTTGTGCTTTACAGGTGAGGTTTTTTTGAGCTCTAAGTTAGGCTGAAGGTACTTTTTTGTTAAATATTGTGATAATTAGCGATTTATTTTAATACAGAAGTTAACCGCACAGAATTGCTTATTTGGCAATTTATTTAAAGTTTTGCGGGATCCCGCAAATACCGGGTTCTCGCGGGATTAACATCTAACAATCCCGCAAATGCCGGGATTGAGATTTTGCTGCGGGATTGCATTCCCTAGTGGTGATCAAATTCAACAGTATCCACTTACCCTAAAAACACAGTACAATTTTTTGTTTCACGATTTGCCGTTAGAACCCTTACAATGCGTTTTACTGAATTTCTCGCCCGGACTATTAAGTTGCTTTTGATATCTCTAGAAAAACATACGGTGTCTATCAGCCTAATGAAATAAACGATAATAAAAAAATTTAATCCTCGCGATCTTCACGCATCCATCGTTTTTACAACCACGTAACTAAAAAACAATTGCGACTTTTCGGCTTTCTAAGAATATATTGTGTACCGATTTTCAAAGCGACCCGACGTTTCTAAACAAAGTTATCGCTCACACGATAAAAAATAAATAAATGGGATGGTGTATAAAAAAATTAGGATTCTTAGTTTGTCCACCAAAAACTGTTTATATTCTGTGTCATGTAACAGTGACCAATATCAACTGTCCTATTTTATATACAACACTCTGTATATTACTCAGTTTTTGGATACGTTAATCTAGACATATTTTATGTACATTTAATTACCTACCTCTGACCCTCGCTCAAATTATTCATTTCGAACATAACACACTACAAAGGATTTATTCTTTGAGTTCTAGTGTGGGTATAAACGTTAGGAGTGGTGGTTAATAATCCAGTTGCGCGAAAGGTAAATGTATTACTCATTAGTTCTTAAATAAGTACACCAGGTATTAAGTAACAGAATTTCAGCGAAATATTACAACTTTGTTATTTACGAAAGTAAACGTATGCTTTGGTTTATGGCACGCAAGTAATAACTACAATACATGTTATTTTTTATCATATACAACTACAAGCTGATTTGAATAAATTGTTCCGTGATCAATATGCACCTTCTGTCTCAGATTGGGAGGAAGTTCGCGATAAATCGCCTCTGGAACGTTGTCTACAATAATAATGTTAGAACTAATAATATTACTAGTTTGATTCAACTCACCGTTACATCGGTAAACTAAGTCAGACCAAATTATCATTTCTTGCGAAAACGAGAATACGCCCAATTTACCGCCTTGCAATGTTGTATCGAAGACATTTCCCGAATCGGCAACCAGTCGTTCGCCTTCATAAATTCGTAAACGAATGAGGCCAATGTTCGGTCTGTGTATTAAAATCCAGCGGTAGGAGGTTTTTTCTCTCCAACCGACATTTCTGGGGTCTTTCCACAAGAGTTTCACCTGGTTTTTGGTGTCCCCAGTGTGCCATAGGGAGTTTCTTAGTAACTGACCGGGACCTGTGACAGAGTCGATCAGCTTCAGCTGGATGCCGGGTTCGGCGACTGCACGGAATGGGGTCGGTTGCCAATACGTTTGCTTGTTCTTCTTCCACATTACCGTGTAAAACCGCTTACTGCTTTGGTAACTGTGGAGGAGCCAAATGTTATACTGTAATCGCTAACTTAACGCACCTAAAGACGAATCCGACGTAATCATCGTCAATTTCGGTATCAATAAAGAAAGTTCCCTCAAAATCTACCCCACCAAAGCTGTGGTGGCCAACGGCCAACCCTGGATCGCTATTCATGGTTTGCACGATTTCGGCTCCTTTGTTATAAATGACCCAGTTTGGATCTATCTGCGATTCCCCTTCTGGATCTAACACTACTGTTTGGTACTTGCTGAAGTCGGTGGCGTATATAAGCGAGTTATTGGGACAGTTGTCAAATGGGTCGTCAACTGGGTCGCCATCTAAATTTTTCTCGCATATATCTCCGATGCCGTTGTCTAAAATATAACATTACAAAGGACACAAATACTAATTATCAATTTATACGATTGCTGTCTTCCTGGCCCCGATTCGGGATTAGGGGACAATTATCCTTGTCGTTTCTGATACCATCGCCATCAGCGTCTGGATCGCATGCGTCGCCAGCGCCGTCCAAGTCGGTATCGAGCTGGTCGCTGTTTGGAATTACCGGACAATTATCAACGTCATCATTAATTCCATCTCTGGAAGAGATCTTTGGTAACTCCCAGTCGAGAACCACGTCACATACCCGTCCTGATCCCTATCGTTGTCGCACACGTCACCGACGAGGTCATTGTCTGAATCCTGCTGGTTTTGGTTGTAATGATACGGACAATTGTCGCAAACGTCCCCAAGACCATCGCCATCCGAATCGGTCTGGTCAGAGTTCGACTTTCTGGGGCAATTATCTTTACCGTTCAATATTCCATCGCCATCCATATCGTCATCGCACGCATCTCCCTTACTATCACCGTCTATGTCAGATTGGTCGTAGTTTGGAACGGTCGGGCAATTGTCACACGCGTCCCCTTGCTTATCTGGGCCCCCAATATCTGTATCGGCTTGATCCGGGTTAGGTATTAACGGGCAGTTGTCCTGTAATACATTTTTTTAAACGGGCGACAGCCAAATTTATACGTACTGGATGATTTGGAATTCCATCGTTGTCAGCGTCAGGATCACAGGCGTCTCCTAACCCATCGCGGTCTGCGTCTTCTTGCCCAGAGTTCGGTTTATCCGGACAATTGTCCTGTAGCCAAAATAATCGTATTGGTTTTCTCGTTTGGAAATTTTTGCAGCAGAGTGTGTTAACAACCCTTAGCCCACGTGTAGACAATTTTGTGGTGATATTAAAGACATTAGAGAGCCGAAACACGAAAGTAGTATGTTAGCACAGTTTGTAGTTGTTCAAAACTATACGTACCTTAATAATAAAATGCAATTTGCACTTTGAAAATTACTAAATCGATAATTAGAGAATGAAGCCGAAAAGAAATCACCATGACCAAATTACACTCTAAATTAAAAACAAAGGTAACATCGGGAAAACATTTGAACAGTTCTATTACGTGAGCCAATAGACATTTCTTTGTTTAAATAAACTACCTCACAATCTCACAAATTTACTAACATTAAATGGTCGGGCAGGTACTACATGTCAAATAAGTTTTGTTATTTCATGCAAACGGGGTTGAATTAGTTTTCCCTTCTGAACCTAAAATTTAGAGTTTCTACGTAAAACTACAACTTCATTAATTAAATTGACTATTATTTTTCCGACGGCTAGCTCAACATATCACAAATTTTACTTCTTTTGCAAACCTCTCCTGCAATCTGAAACGTAACTACCAAGATTACTTGACTTCTATGGCGTGTCCATGAAAAAACAACACCGAATGGCCATTCAACTGTATATTGCAAATCAATTCGAAACTATAAATTATGTATGCACTTTCGTTTGTACATGTTTTTTTTTACAAATAGGAATATGTTGCTAGGATCTTTTAACTTAATCTAAATTGAAGTGACCTTATGAATTAGAAATAATTAAATATTATACAGGGTGGCCACTATGTATGGAGTATAGTATACAGGGTGGTGACTTGCGTAACGCATCATAGGGATTTCAATGTAAAATTCATAACATGCGATCAATGGCTCCCCAAATTATTTTAGAGCAAAAATGTATTAAGGTTTTTTGTAGAAAAATTTTTTTTACGCCAATCAACCGTATTAGTTTCCAATTTTTTGCATAATAAAGACGGAAAATTGGAAAAATAAATCCCGCATCTTTTTCAATAATCTGTGATGCCATGTAATTTTATAATACAAAAACTACGCCAATATCTGTCTTGCCATGGAATGTCTGCTATAAAACAAATCAAATTCTATCAAAAAGTATTATAGAACAGCGAATTCAACATAAAGAAAGACTACAGTACTAAAAACGGTTTCCATAACAATTTAAGTAAGTATTTAAGTATCTTTTTGTTTTAAAAAATTCCATGGCATCCCAGATTATTGAAAAAGATGGGGGTTTTATTTTTCCAATTTTCCGTCTTTATATGAAAAAAATTGAAAACTAATACGGTTGATTGGCGTAAAAAAATATTTTCTACAAAAAACTTTAATAGATTTTTGCTCTAAAATAATTTGGGGAGCCAATAATCGCATGTCATGAATTTTACATTGAAATCCCTATGATGCGTTACGCAAGTCACCACCCTGTATATCTCGGTAAATTAATCTTCAAGATTTTTCTTGGTTCAGAACGAACTAAATATCTCGAAAACTGTATAGTAATTAAGGCCTCGGACGGACGCAGAAAGCGGCCATAATAGCGCCAAAAAAGGGTCACATTCAAAAAACTGCAAATTTCATCAACTTGTTTGAAATTTGTTTTAAGTTTTGCTTCATTTTTTTGAATCACTTTAATCTTTTTTTAATATTATCCTTGGTGCGTTATAGGTATTTTTAAAAGAATTTAATGTTAATTAAATTCCTTTTTCAAAAATACACTGAACAAATTCCAAAATTTTTGAACCTTTTTTTGCTAAATCTTTTTTAATATCTTTCAATGAACATTTTTTTGCATCTCGTTTAACTAAGACAGTATAAGGTCATAGCATATTAAATACTCTTTTCAAAAATGTAACACTAAAAAATTGTATAAATTTGTTTTGAATTTTTTTTGAATCATTTGCACATTTTTTTAAATTTTGCTGATCATTTTTTAATATTTTTGAATCCTTTTTGAATACCTATTATCCCTGGTGTTTTATATTTTAGAGAATTTCATATTTTTTCCGATTAAACTATACAGGGTGTTCCATGTTGGATCTGACATTTTTACCTGCCCCCTTATGTGTAAACCGGTATTGTTAAAAAATCATGATAATGAAACGTTTGTAATAATTTAGAAAATATAGGGCCCTGACATATTAAATTCTCTTTTCAAAAATATAATACTACAAAAATTCAAAAATTGGTTTGAAATTTGTTGTATTTTGCATCATTTGAACTTTTTTTAATTTTACTAAATCTCTTTCCTATTTGGATATTTTAGGGTTCAATTTGTACATGGGAGATGTTCAAATTGAAAGGTTTTTTGAAATGTTTCGAATCGATCTACAATACAACAAATCACGAATAAAGGAGGATATGGACGGCTAGTCATTTCAAAGATTTCTGTAACAATGCATCAAAAATCACAGAAGACGTACAATTTTCAGAACTGGTCTTGGGAAAGGTATTAACTGCGATATCGGTGTCAATGACAAAGTATACAAGAACATTGAGGCGTTAAACAAAAATCAGCAAGAATTAATTCGGAATTCAGGTAGACTAATCAAAATAATGCTGTCTACTGTATCAACATTTAAAGAAACAGACGATCGAATTGAGAAGCAATTAGTGCCGCTCAACAACAAATTAAACGAAGCGAGAAAATTCTGGTAATATTAGGCTCAGATTTCGGGGTTAATTTCATAAACGATGTATTTACTCTTGTAGCAAACAGTTTTTTTGTAAATTAGTTGAATTTAAATGTAGCAGGAGAGATTTTGAATACGCTAGATTTGTTTACACATAATTTAATAACAAAATCAGTTACTCATATTTTACCTTGACCACGGCAGAGTTCATTCAGTTTCACTTCGTAATTTAAAACACGACGTAAAAATGTCTTTCCAGCGTGATATTTCTGACGTATTCTTTCTCGATCGCACAATAATAATTTTTATTTATGAATTTCGTAGCTACACGCATTTTTAATTTTCGTTTACACGTTAAAATGTTCCCTTTGTAATTTTTTGACTTTTTGGAAACCTCGCGTATAGGTTTCTTTGTAACACACTTCTAATTTCTAAAATTTTGTCCTCAATTTCCACTAACGCGCCATGTTTCGTTATTCCTTGTTTAAGTAATCATTTTCTGGTATTAACCCCAAAGAAATCTTTCTTTGACTCGGTCATCATTGGCAACCAGACCGCAAAATATTAATCCCGAAAATTCCGCTTACTGCTGGTAGCTGCGGTGGGATGTCTAAATTTTCATTGGTTAGTGTCTTTCTTACTACCAATCTCAGATGGTTCTAAAGGTCGTTAGTCATTCCCATCTTTCGCAAAATAAGCTGAATTAAAGGTTTTCACTGTACGAGTTTATCACACGCTTACTAAGAAATGTAACCTTATATCCCTATTAAAACGGATGTAAACTGAAATATCCAACGCACATGGGAAAAAACCCTCAATATTTCATCTTCCAGGTGGCATCTATAAATGGAAGTTGCTTATTTGCCTATTCTTTACTGTAAACCGCATATTTAATAAAGAGAACTGTATTTTTATTATAAGTGTTGTAAATGGGAAATCGAGCCATCTATTCAACTCTATGAACACCATCATCACTTTTAAATTGAAGAATCTCGGAAATGTCGCGCATATTTTACGATCGGTATGTAACTTCTATTAGCAAAGTTAACATAAGGCAAACGTAGAGTATACAGTACACAAGTTTATTAGATAAGTACATTTACATAGTTGCACTAAGTTGTAATTGTTAAGAGTAAGAGAAAATTTAAACTATAGCTTATGAGAGCTTTTTAAGATTGGAATCGAATGTTCCACCTTTATTACGTAACATACTGTGTCGTGCATGTGCTCTTTTGCTTCTCCATTGTCTTTCCTCAATCTTTACGTTAGCTTGCTTTGAATAAACGCGAGTATTTACCTTTTTGCATCTCGGATCTCGACAGTTCAAGGTAAAATCAGGCCAACCGTCTAAGTCCTGATCCGGCCCGCAGACGACGCCATCACCGGCAAACCCAATCTTGCATTTACAACCGTACCGTCCGTACATGATTTGGTAGCACTCGGCGTGTTGGTGACAACGACTTCCATCGGGGCAAAGACCCAGTTCAGTATGGCAGCCCATAGATTGGTTCCCCATGTATCCCGGGTCGCACCCTTCGCATCTGTAAGAGCCCTGTACGAAAGATTAGAAAGGTCCCAATTTGTGTTTCTAATACCTCTAAGTTTCGGCAATACGAGTGAGGAACGCAGTTTGCGATTCCCTCGGCGCATTCGTCAATGTCGTGACAGTCTTGTCGTCTGAACCGAGCTTCCTCGAGACCAATACCTGAAAATCCGGAGCTTCCGGTGTACCCTGGCGGACAAGGTCCGCAACGATAGCCCGGATTTAAGTTTGTGCATTCGACATCTGGATGACAAGGTTCTTCCAGATCGCACTGAAAGCATTGACGTTAAAATTGGGATCTTCCCCGCGGGGTTAAGCTGACCTCGTCTATATCCCGACACGCTGTTCCATTGCCGGTAAATCCAGGCGGGCAGCCTTCACATCGGTAAAAGGGATGAGCGTTTATTGGAATGCACTGTACACCTAAAATGAGCCCAGTCCAATTAATGCATCTTTTGGCTGAGCGAGAAATGCAACTGACTTCATTAAAACTAGGTAGATAATGTGTTAGATTTTATTCGCTATTAAATAATAATACAAACGATTAGTGAAAGCGAAAGGCTTTCTCGAAAGTTATCTTTGGTATGAGTCGCCGGTTATTTTCTGTTAATTTTGCCCTATGAATAATTGTGAAATAAATTAGTCTTCATTGAACAGCTGAACGACATCACTTACCTGGATGACAGGGGCTGTATTCGCATCCGCTACGTTTAGCACAATGCTCTCCGTCCCCCTCGTATCCTGCTGGACACGGACCGCATTCGTAACCGTGATCGGTATCCCTGCACTGGACGTCGTGGAAACAGGGATAATCTCGGCATGTACGAACGGCCGTGCATTCGTATCCGTTTCCGACAAATCCGTAGGGACACGGTCCGCATCTGGGACCGTTAGGTGTGTCTTGGCATTGCACGCGAGCGAAACATTGCGGGGGGTGCGTGCCGCATGTCGGTTGAGTGGTTATAGAAGCGGAATTGCAAATATTGCAGTTTTCTAGTAAGACTCTGAGTCGGTCAATAACCTGGTGTTGGTTACGGACATCTACTGTTAGTGTATTCACGGCTTTTATAAGTGCATTGAGAGCTTCTAAAATAGCACCTGTAACAATTAAGTGTAGGTAGTTAATATTAGCGGATACAAGAAAAAAAACATCATGTGGCAACATCGCGCAGCATCATCGAAACACGCAAGCCGCGCGAGCGCCACCTGAACCCGCACACAACAACCCCCCACGCCTACGCCGCGACGGAGGATTTTTCGTGGGAATTTTCCCTGGAGATTCATCGTAGCCGACACCTCGCAGTCGATTTCCTACCACACCACTGTCTACTGGTAGATGAACCAAAAACTCATCGACAGCCAAACGAGCTTCGCCCCGAAAAGAAGAGCAGCCAACTTCGTGGAGGTGCGTACATCGAGCGTGGGTCGATTGAGGCTCGTATCACCGTACCACGCACCCGCGATGAACATCCTGCCGGAAGACCTGGATGCGCTCCTGGACGAAGATATAGCCACCGTCATCGCGGGGGATCTCAACGCGAAAGATCCCTCCAACGGCGTGGTATTCAACAGATACGCGAACGATCACCCGATCGTTGTAGCAGGACTCGACGACCGACACACTACAGTCCGGAAGGAATGGGTCGCCGTCGTGAAAGATGTGTCGCTGCAGTATGGTCTCACGAAGATTCCAGAGCTGGACTCGGACTATAATTCCGTTTTCCTGGAACTGGGCGCTATTGGTCCGAACCCGGCAAACACGGGATGAGGCGTACATCTTGGCCCGCCTTCCGAAGTCGTCTTGTGGAATCGACGACGGACGACCCACCGGTAATCGAAGAGGTGAATCTCGAAACGGCGGCCGACGTGTTTGGAAAAATCGCGCAGGCTACCCTACGAGATGCCACGAAGTAGTTTTGAGAGCTCAAAGACGATTACCGCCATCCGGGTTGGATTCGGGACTAGGGAATGCAATCCCGCAGCAAAATCTCAATCCCGGTATTTGCGGGATTGTTAGATGTTAATCCCGCGGGATCCCGGTATTTACGGGATCCCGCAAAACTTTAAATAAATTGGCAAATAAGCAATTCTGTGCGGTTAACTTCTGTATTAAAATAAATCGCTAATTATCACAATATTTAACAAAAAAGTACTTTCAGCCTAACTTAGAGCTCAAAAAAACCTCACCTGTAAAGCACAAAAAAAAGTGCCTCAAAAATCATAGTACATTTTAACGAAAAAAGTTTAACAATTATTTAAAAAATAACTTCTCCGATATGCGTTTCATTAACAAAGTAAACAGAGTCGTCCCCTTGGTCGACAAATTCCTCAGTCCCGCAAATCCCGCGGGATCCCGCTCCATTTATATGCGGGATTAATCCCGCAAAAATGCTGCGGGATCCCGGTATTTCGGGATCCCGCGATCCCGGTATTGCATTCCCTATTCGGGACCTAATCCGGGAGAAGAACGGATCCAGAGCGCTCGTCCAGTGTCCGTAGAATCCGTTAGACTGAGCCAAGTTCCGAAGACTTCAAGGAGAGGTCAAGACGAAAACGGCCTGAGATCCTTGAGCTCCCTCTGGAAGATCCCAAAGGTGCCAGGCGCCAGGATCGGACAACATCGCGAACAGAGCGCTCAAAGAGCTCCCCCAACATGCGGTAAGAGTTCTAGCTTCCATTCTGAATGCGAACGACGGCACTTTCCATCTCGGTGGAAACGTGCCGACCTAATTTTGTTAGAGAAACCGGGCCAGTCCACGACGTTCCCCCAGAACTTTCGCCCGATCAGCCTGCTGTCGACGATCGCCAAAGTAGCAGAAGCGGTGATCCTGAGGAGGCTGCACGACCGAAAGTAGTATGTTAGCACAGTTTGTAGTTGTTCAAAACTATACGTACCTTAATAATAAAATGCAATTTGCACTTTGAAAATTACTAAATCGATAATTAGAGAATGAAGCCGAAAAGAAATCACCATGACCAAATTACACTCTAAATTAAAAACAAAGGTAACATCGGGAAAACATTTGAACAGTTCTATTACGTGAGCCAATAGACATTTCTTTGTTTAAATAAACTACCTCACAATCTCACAAATTTACTAACATTAAATGGTCGGGCAGGTACTACATGTCAAATAAGTTTTGTTATTTCATGCAAACGGGGTTGAATTAGTTTTCCCTTCTGAACCTAAAATTTAGAGTTTCTACGTAAAACTACAACTTCATTAATTAAATTGACTATTATTTTTCCGACGGCTAGCTCAACATATCACAAATTTTACTTCTTTTGCAAACCTCTCCTGCAATCTGAAACGTAACTACCAAGATTACTTGACTTCTATGGCGTGTCCATGAAAAAACAACACCGAATGGCCATTCAACTGTATATTGCAAATCAATTCGAAACTATAAATTATGTATGCACTTTCGTTTGTACATGTTTTTTTTTACAAATAGGAATATGTTGCTAGGATCTTTTAACTTAATCTAAATTGAAGTGACCTTATGAATTAGAAATAATTAAATATTATACAGGGTGGCCACTATGTATGGAGTATAGTATACAGGGTGGTGACTTGCGTAACGCATCATAGGGATTTCAATGTAAAATTCATAACATGCGATCAATGGCTCCCCAAATTATTTTAGAGCAAAAATGTATTAAGGTTTTTTGTAGAAAAATTTTTTTTACGCCAATCAACCGTATTAGTTTCCAATTTTTTGCATAATAAAGACGGAAAATTGGAAAAATAAATCCCGCATCTTTTTCAATAATCTGTGATGCCATGTAATTTTATAATACAAAAACTACGCCAATATCTGTCTTGCCATGGAATGTCTGCTATAAAACAAATCAAATTCTATCAAAAAGTATTATAGAACAGCGAATTCAACATAAAGAAAGACTACAGTACTAAAAACGGTTTCCATAACAATTTAAGTAAGTATTTAAGTATCTTTTTGTTTTAAAAAATTCCATGGCATCCCAGATTATTGAAAAAGATGGGGGTTTTATTTTTCCAATTTTCCGTCTTTATATGAAAAAAATTGAAAACTAATACGGTTGATTGGCGTAAAAAAATATTTTCTACAAAAAACTTTAATAGATTTTTGCTCTAAAATAATTTGGGGAGCCAATAATCGCATGTCATGAATTTTACATTGAAATCCCTATGATGCGTTACGCAAGTCACCACCCTGTATATCTCGGTAAATTAATCTTCAAGATTTTTCTTGGTTCAGAACGAACTAAATATCTCGAAAACTGTATAGTAATTAAGGCCTCGGACGGACGCAGAAAGCGGCCATAATAGCGCCAAAAAAGGGTCACATTCAAAAAACTGCAAATTTCATCAACTTGTTTGAAATTTGTTTTAAGTTTTGCTTCATTTTTTTGAATCACTTTAATCTTTTTTTAATATTATCCTTGGTGCGTTATAGGTATTTTTAAAAGAATTTAATGTTAATTAAATTCCTTTTTCAAAAATACACTGAACAAATTCCAAAATTTTTGAACCTTTTTTTGCTAAATCTTTTTTAATATCTTTCAATGAACATTTTTTTGCATCTCGTTTAACTAAGACAGTATAAGGTCATAGCATATTAAATACTCTTTTCAAAAATGTAACACTAAAAAATTGTATAAATTTGTTTTGAATTTTTTTTGAATCATTTGCACATTTTTTTAAATTTTGCTGATCATTTTTTAATATTTTTGAATCCTTTTTGAATACCTATTATCCCTGGTGTTTTATATTTTAGAGAATTTCATATTTTTTCCGATTAAACTATACAGGGTGTTCCATGTTGGATCTGACATTTTTACCTGCCCCCTTATGTGTAAACCGGTATTGTTAAAAAATCATGATAATGAAACGTTTGTAATAATTTAGAAAATATAGGGCCCTGACATATTAAATTCTCTTTTCAAAAATATAATACTACAAAAATTCAAAAATTGGTTTGAAATTTGTTGTATTTTGCATCATTTGAACTTTTTTTAATTTTACTAAATCTCTTTCCTATTTGGATATTTTAGGGTTCAATTTGTACATGGGAGATGTTCAAATTGAAAGGTTTTTTGAAATGTTTCGAATCGATCTACAATACAACAAATCACGAATAAAGGAGGATATGGACGGCTAGTCATTTCAAAGATTTCTGTAACAATGCATCAAAAATCACAGAAGACGTACAATTTTCAGAACTGGTCTTGGGAAAGGTATTAACTGCGATATCGGTGTCAATGACAAAGTATACAAGAACATTGAGGCGTTAAACAAAAATCAGCAAGAATTAATTCGGAATTCAGGTAGACTAATCAAAATAATGCTGTCTACTGTATCAACATTTAAAGAAACAGACGATCGAATTGAGAAGCAATTAGTGCCGCTCAACAACAAATTAAACGAAGCGAGAAAATTCTGGTAATATTAGGCTCAGATTTCGGGGTTAATTTCATAAACGATGTATTTACTCTTGTAGCAAACAGTTTTTTTGTAAATTAGTTGAATTTAAATGTAGCAGGAGAGATTTTGAATACGCTAGATTTGTTTACACATAATTTAATAACAAAATCAGTTACTCATATTTTACCTTGACCACGGCAGAGTTCATTCAGTTTCACTTCGTAATTTAAAACACGACGTAAAAATGTCTTTCCAGCGTGATATTTCTGACGTATTCTTTCTCGATCGCACAATAATAATTTTTATTTATGAATTTCGTAGCTACACGCATTTTTAATTTTCGTTTACACGTTAAAATGTTCCCTTTGTAATTTTTTGACTTTTTGGAAACCTCGCGTATAGGTTTCTTTGTAACACACTTCTAATTTCTAAAATTTTGTCCTCAATTTCCACTAACGCGCCATGTTTCGTTATTCCTTGTTTAAGTAATCATTTTCTGGTATTAACCCCAAAGAAATCTTTCTTTGACTCGGTCATCATTGGCAACCAGACCGCAAAATATTAATCCCGAAAATTCCGCTTACTGCTGGTAGCTGCGGTGGGATGTCTAAATTTTCATTGGTTAGTGTCTTTCTTACTACCAATCTCAGATGGTTCTAAAGGTCGTTAGTCATTCCCATCTTTCGCAAAATAAGCTGAATTAAAGGTTTTCACTGTACGAGTTTATCACACGCTTACTAAGAAATGTAACCTTATATCCCTATTAAAACGGATGTAAACTGAAATATCCAACGCACATGGGAAAAAACCCTCAATATTTCATCTTCCAGGTGGCATCTATAAATGGAAGTTGCTTATTTGCCTATTCTTTACTGTAAACCGCATATTTAATAAAGAGAACTGTATTTTTATTATAAGTGTTGTAAATGGGAAATCGAGCCATCTATTCAACTCTATGAACACCATCATCACTTTTAAATTGAAGAATCTCGGAAATGTCGCGCATATTTTACGATCGGTATGTAACTTCTATTAGCAAAGTTAACATAAGGCAAACGTAGAGTATACAGTACACAAGTTTATTAGATAAGTACATTTACATAGTTGCACTAAGTTGTAATTGTTAAGAGTAAGAGAAAATTTAAACTATAGCTTATGAGAGCTTTTTAAGATTGGAATCGAATGTTCCACCTTTATTACGTAACATACTGTGTCGTGCATGTGCTCTTTTGCTTCTCCATTGTCTTTCCTCAATCTTTACGTTAGCTTGCTTTGAATAAACGCGAGTATTTACCTTTTTGCATCTCGGATCTCGACAGTTCAAGGTAAAATCAGGCCAACCGTCTAAGTCCTGATCCGGCCCGCAGACGACGCCATCACCGGCAAACCCAATCTTGCATTTACAACCGTACCGTCCGTACATGATTTGGTAGCACTCGGCGTGTTGGTGACAACGACTTCCATCGGGGCAAAGACCCAGTTCAGTATGGCAGCCCATAGATTGGTTCCCCATGTATCCCGGGTCGCACCCTTCGCATCTGTAAGAGCCCTGTACGAAAGATTAGAAAGGTCCCAATTTGTGTTTCTAATACCTCTAAGTTTCGGCAATACGAGTGAGGAACGCAGTTTGCGATTCCCTCGGCGCATTCGTCAATGTCGTGACAGTCTTGTCGTCTGAACCGAGCTTCCTCGAGACCAATACCTGAAAATCCGGAGCTTCCGGTGTACCCTGGCGGACAAGGTCCGCAACGATAGCCCGGATTTAAGTTTGTGCATTCGACATCTGGATGACAAGGTTCTTCCAGATCGCACTGAAAGCATTGACGTTAAAATTGGGATCTTCCCCGCGGGGTTAAGCTGACCTCGTCTATATCCCGACACGCTGTTCCATTGCCGGTAAATCCAGGCGGGCAGCCTTCACATCGGTAAAAGGGATGAGCGTTTATTGGAATGCACTGTACACCTAAAATGAGCCCAGTCCAATTAATGCATCTTTTGGCTGAGCGAGAAATGCAACTGACTTCATTAAAACTAGGTAGATAATGTGTTAGATTTTATTCGCTATTAAATAATAATACAAACGATTAGTGAAAGCGAAAGGCTTTCTCGAAAGTTATCTTTGGTATGAGTCGCCGGTTATTTTCTGTTAATTTTGCCCTATGAATAATTGTGAAATAAATTAGTCTTCATTGAACAGCTGAACGACATCACTTACCTGGATGACAGGGGCTGTATTCGCATCCGCTACGTTTAGCACAATGCTCTCCGTCCCCCTCGTATCCTGCTGGACACGGACCGCATTCGTAACCGTGATCGGTATCCCTGCACTGGACGTCGTGGAAACAGGGATAATCTCGGCATGTACGAACGGCCGTGCATTCGTATCCGTTTCCGACAAATCCGTAGGGACACGGTCCGCATCTGGGACCGTTAGGTGTGTCTTGGCATTGCACGCGAGCGAAACATTGCGGGGGGTGCGTGCCGCATGTCGGTTGAGTGGTTATAGAAGCGGAATTGCAAATATTGCAGTTTTCTAGTAAGACTCTGAGTCGGTCAATAACCTGGTGTTGGTTACGGACATCTACTGTTAGTGTATTCACGGCTTTTATAAGTGCATTGAGAGCTTCTAAAATAGCACCTGTAACAATTAAGTGTAGGTAGTTAATATTAGCGGATACAAGAAAAAAAACATCATGTGGCAACATCGCGCAGCATCATCGAAACACGCAAGCCGCGCGAGCGCCACCTGAACCCGCACACAACAACCCCCCACGCCTACGCCGCGACGGAGGATTTTTCGTGGGAATTTTCCCTGGAGATTCATCGTAGCCGACACCTCGCAGTCGATTTCCTACCACACCACTGTCTACTGGTAGATGAACCAAAAACTCATCGACAGCCAAACGAGCTTCGCCCCGAAAAGAAGAGCAGCCAACTTCGTGGAGGTGCGTACATCGAGCGTGGGTCGATTGAGGCTCGTATCACCGTACCACGCACCCGCGATGAACATCCTGCCGGAAGACCTGGATGCGCTCCTGGACGAAGATATAGCCACCGTCATCGCGGGGGATCTCAACGCGAAAGATCCCTCCAACGGCGTGGTATTCAACAGATACGCGAACGATCACCCGATCGTTGTAGCAGGACTCGACGACCGACACACTACAGTCCGGAAGGAATGGGTCGCCGTCGTGAAAGATGTGTCGCTGCAGTATGGTCTCACGAAGATTCCAGAGCTGGACTCGGACTATAATTCCGTTTTCCTGGAACTGGGCGCTATTGGTCCGAACCCGGCAAACACGGGATGAGGCGTACATCTTGGCCCGCCTTCCGAAGTCGTCTTGTGGAATCGACGACGGACGACCCACCGGTAATCGAAGAGGTGAATCTCGAAACGGCGGCCGACGTGTTTGGAAAAATCGCGCAGGCTACCCTACGAGATGCCACGAAGTAGTTTTGAGAGCTCAAAGACGATTACCGCCATCCGGGTTGGATTCGGGACTAGGGAATGCAATCCCGCAGCAAAATCTCAATCCCGGTATTTGCGGGATTGTTAGATGTTAATCCCGCGGGATCCCGGTATTTACGGGATCCCGCAAAACTTTAAATAAATTGGCAAATAAGCAATTCTGTGCGGTTAACTTCTGTATTAAAATAAATCGCTAATTATCACAATATTTAACAAAAAAGTACTTTCAGCCTAACTTAGAGCTCAAAAAAACCTCACCTGTAAAGCACAAAAAAAAGTGCCTCAAAAATCATAGTACATTTTAACGAAAAAAGTTTAACAATTATTTAAAAAATAACTTCTCCGATATGCGTTTCATTAACAAAGTAAACAGAGTCGTCCCCTTGGTCGACAAATTCCTCAGTCCCGCAAATCCCGCGGGATCCCGCTCCATTTATATGCGGGATTAATCCCGCAAAAATGCTGCGGGATCCCGGTATTTCGGGATCCCGCGATCCCGGTATTGCATTCCCTATTCGGGACCTAATCCGGGAGAAGAACGGATCCAGAGCGCTCGTCCAGTGTCCGTAGAATCCGTTAGACTGAGCCAAGTTCCGAAGACTTCAAGGAGAGGTCAAGACGAAAACGGCCTGAGATCCTTGAGCTCCCTCTGGAAGATCCCAAAGGTGCCAGGCGCCAGGATCGGACAACATCGCGAACAGAGCGCTCAAAGAGCTCCCCCAACATGCGGTAAGAGTTCTAGCTTCCATTCTGAATGCGAACGACGGCACTTTCCATCTCGGTGGAAACGTGCCGACCTAATTTTGTTAGAGAAACCGGGCCAGTCCACGACGTTCCCCCAGAACTTTCGCCCGATCAGCCTGCTGTCGACGATCGCCAAAGTAGCAGAAGCGGTGATCCTGAGGAGGCTGCACGACCAAACGGAGGAAAGACGCGTCATTCAGGACGAGCAATTCGGATTCCGGAAGGGCCACTCGACGGTCCACCAAGTGCTGAGGACGGTAGAACACGCGACGGAAGGCTTCAACCGCAACAAGTGCACGGGATCAATTTTCTTGGACTTCCCAAAGGCGTTCGAAGGGGTTTGGCACAACAGGCTGCTGTGGATGATGCTGGAATCCGCTCTCCACCTAGCCACAGTTCAGATTTTCGTATCATAGGTCGCGTGAACGCAAAGCAACGGCCGGAGTATCCATGCTCTCTCCGCTTCTGTTATCTCTATACGTTCGGGTCATGCCAAAGACACGCTAACGACGTCGCCGTCCAGGCAAGGTCGTGGCAACCAGGGGCCATTTTTAGGAGACTCCAGACGGCACTGGGCAGCCTAGAAGAATGGTACACCAGATGGAAGATCGCAGTCAACGCCGAAAGGGGGCACGAACCCGCGGGAAACATGACCATTTTCGGAAATGCCATTCCGTGGAGGACCGAAGCAAAATACCTTGGCGTCGTGCTGAACCGACGACGTTTGACGTGGAAGCCGACGTCAGATATTGCACCAAAAGACAAAATCTCTTCTAAAAGGCGCCTAATTGTATGCATCCAAAATAACTTCTTGAAACAAATACAGATTTTTTATTTTTGGCTTTCAATTGAACTGCGCCACACGGGCCGGCTTCATATTAATTAATTTGAATATTGTTTCTTTGGCTTCCGTATTGTTATTTTCCTTCACGTGGAATGTATTCAACTGAAGAAAAAATTGATATAGTGCCGGTGGCAGTTTAAGGAGCGTAAGAGATTTATTTTCCTGGAAGTCAAGGCAACAATTTTCAAACTAATTAATATGACAGCCTGATGTTTATTTGTTTTAAGAAGATTTTGTCTTTTAAAAGTAGACATAGGGAAAAACAATACACATAATTCCCTATGTCTACTTCTTAATAAAAAAAACTAGTTATAGAAGACGGATGATAAATCGAACATCAACACCAAAATAACATCAAATAGTCATGAATTAAGATTTCCATAAATGAGATGAATCATTTCCAGAATCGCTATCAGAAATTACTCTAAACCATCTTCGGTTCAATCCTAAAATTACAGCAGCAATGGTCATTTATTTTTCAGACATTTGATGGTCCAAGGTACTAGGCAAAACCACTACTAAAATATAAAGTGTTATACTTACTTTCGCTTAATTCCGTAGCGCTAGGAATGTCACCTCGATTAGGATAATACGAGGATTGCATAGCTTGCACATTTGGATCGTGATCTAAACTTTTGCTAGTGTCAATAAAGTCGACAAAATTCTTGGTGATTGACGCTTCCGATGGAAATGAAGAGGCGGGGCAATTGTTTCTTTGTATCACTTTTCTAAAGTTTTCTTCACTATCTACCTCCATATCGTATTTTCTTTCTCGGAACTACAAAAGTTAAATACATTTTAAAACTGGACAGTTTAACGTATACAGCTGCCGCCCGAGGAAATTTCAACCCTTCTACCCGTTACGACGCCTGACCTAACCCATTTTAATTTTGCGACTGTTACATGACATTTAGGGCCGGCTTTTATTTTCTCTTGGGCGATAGTTAACTTACTATGTAAATACATTCGAAAAAAAATCAGATAAGTTTAACTGAGGCGGGAAAAGCGGGCTCTTAGAGGAGTTAAATTGGACCCCACACTCGATTATTTCTTATCAAATCGCACTACGTAACAATTACCCTTATAAATTGTTATTAAATCTGTACGAACATCCACCCCTATCCAATAAGCGCTTCACTCTCCTTTCATTTCTTTGCTCTTACATTTTAATTATCCTTACGTCTGATTTATTTGATTAAATTACACGAAAGCTTTCATTTTCAGGAGGACGTGAAAATGAACTGCATAGTTTATTGGGTGAGCATTATGGAAACAGTAATTTGTGCTGATGATAAATTTAAGTTAACTTAATAACAAAATGATTCTTTTTTCTGATTACATTGATGTATCACAACCTATACTTTTTTATATGATTATATATTATATTAGATATTTTTCAAAATTTTGAAATGACACGCTTCTACCGCTAGCGATTTTTATCGATTGATGCAATAAACAAAACAAAATCTCCCTAAATCCTACCTACCATTTAAAAACCGTAAAAAATAAGGTTTTTATTTTTGGTTCATGGCTAAAATTTAAAAAAATATAGGTTGTAAATGTAATCAAAAAAAAAGAACGAAAAACAAATCCTATTAAGATATACAGGCTGTTGCATTCAAAAAATGCCAACTTTGGGACAAATCTCAGAAACTGTGTCCCAAAAATTTGCTGTGGCTAACACAGATACCACCCGCACACCTGTACATGTGCGATTCTGCCTTTTTTGGATTTGGATCCAGTCGGTTCAGCCGTTTAGCCGGAAACGAGGCCGGAAATGAGAATTTGACACACTTGCGCATGCGGGATTCTGTCCAAAAGATTTTCAGTTCTTCCTTTTATGTTTATGAATAGGTGTACGGCAGACATATCAAACTCATTTATCATCAAGGGCCATTATAAAGTTTCCACTTATAGCTGCGGACATCATAAAAAGTCCACATAAAAAAATTTTGATTTTTTATTATTAACAAAAAAGTATACAAAATAATACAAAAAACGAAAAAATGCAAATATGTAATCATAAAATCATTAATACGCACTCAAGAAAATGTACCGTGTGTCCTATGTTGGTTAAGACTGCAGTATATTTCAGCTGCTTTTAAAGATAAGAGACTTGTGGTTTTCGCGACCCTGTGCCACTTTTTTGTGAAACAATACCACAAACAGAATCGATCCAACTACGTTTGTTTCTGAGGTCTGAGATATAGGGTGAATATGAAAAATTGGACTTTTTGTGATGTTGTCATATCTGGCTACCCATGTAAGATAAAAAAAAGTAAAAACTGCCTATCTTAGGTATTTTTACGTAGAAACCAGTGACGTAGTAAAAAAAATTTTGACAACAGTTTCTGAGATTTGACCCAAATGTGATATTTTTTAAATGCAACACCTTGTATTGTATGTTTACATCAATTTTGTTGCATTCTTTTTCGAGATTACATTAATGTATCATTCTATATTTATTTACCATTTTTCAAAATTTTGAAATGTCGTGTACCGTCAGCCATTTTTGTTGATTGGCATCGACTGCTGTACTTACAATAGAGACAATAAACAAAACAAAATCTCCATTTATTTATTTATTATTTCCTACTATTTAAAGAAGTAAAAAATAAGGTTTTTATGGTTTCAACGCTAAAATTAAAAAAAAAATAAGTTGTGATACATCAATGTAATCAGGAAAAGGAATGATAAGAAATTGACGTTAAGATATACATAGTGTTGCCTTTACTCAATACCAACTTTGGGTCAAATCTCAGAAACTTTTCGTTTTCACCTTGTATCTCAGAATCTAACGCAGCTAGATTGGCTTTGTTTGTGGTATTATGCGTTTCACAAAACCGCAAATCTATCTTTAAAAACAGCTGAGATACACTGCAGTCTCAACCAAAATAGGACACACGGTAGGTACAATAAAATTTTATAATTTACAAAAATCGTGATGGGCCGCAGGTTTCAGAACGGGGGGCCGCATGTGGCCCGCAGCCCGCGTATTTGAAATGCCTGGTGTAACAAATTTGGTTCCAATCGGTTCAGGCGTTTCGCCGGAAATGAGCGTACAGACGGACATAATCAAGATTTTGTTTGAATCGGATTCCTGGTGCTTCAAAACGTGTATTTTCGTCAAAAGTGGGGTATCATTTTTTACCCCAATGCCCTTACACGTGCGAGTGGTAAAAACAGCAATCAGTTTGGTCAGTATTACGATTTACGAAAGTTACGTAAGTAACAAACTAATTAATTGTTTAGGTATCCACCTGACGTGCCGACACGACACCCCTTCACTACCGAGGAAAATTAGTCTTAGTACTCCTAGATCAGTTTGCCATTTTTGCATACGGATTTTGTTACCTCTTTCATATGTGGCCTCAGCTCACCTTTTCTTTTCTACAGTCACCCATTGTTCTATAGTCAAGGAAAATGCGTCTCCGTGAATAGGTATACTAGAGTCTAGACCGATTAATTGGCGTTGATTGACGGATTTCAATCGATGCTGATTATAGCAACAACATCTATTTTAGGTGTTGTTTCATGTTTGAGTTGTTGATTATAGTGAATCTGAATATTGTGTGCGCGGAACGGAAAGGGAAAGATGCGTACCTATATACGAAAATGTACGGAGGGAAACGATATTGCGAATTGTAGTACCGCCTCCTCAGTACTCTAAATCTACACCCCGCAGGCCCCTGAGAAACTAAGCGACGGGTATAGAAGCCTCTTAATGTCCCATTAAGTTTTCTCGTCTTGCAGGGTTTCATGAACCAATATTAGGCATAGGTTTCATCTATACTTCGTTCACCCAACAGAAATAGTTAAGCCACTCCTACAAAATTTGGGCCAATGTAAGCAGCAACCAGTTTTACAACCACAAAATTATAAAAAGCGGAAAATTTGAAAAATCAAATTGAAATGTCACTTGCTCAAGACTAATTATGGCGCTATCTCTCTAAACATAACTCGTGGCAAAAATAGTAAAACCTGCAAACTGTTAAATACATGTAAATATGCAACATAAAAACACTGTTTATATTGAGAAAAGTACAAAAAAGTATTATTACAGCAGCACTTGAATATAAACAAAGGTACATAACAATTTAAATCCTGTATCGCTTCACTCGGATTCGGACTCCGTTGATGTCGAGTCATCTCCCACATGAATTACTAATGGCTCCACTACGATGTCCATTAAAATGTCAATTTGCCACATTTTTTTCTCTTCACTTTGAGCATGGCGAATTGCGTTCTTCCAATTTTCAGCAGTAACATGTTCCACTGCTTGTTGAAATAGTGGATGAAGGTCTTTCATTTTAAATGTGGTGTTGTTTCTGGCCACTTCACCTTTTATTTGCGCCCATATCAGTTCAATTGGATTCAATTCGCAGTGATATGGAGGCAATCGCAGCACGGTACGATTGTGTTCCTTTGCAATTTCATCAACTACATATTTTGGTGTAACAGCTGCCCGTTTCACAAGCTGCAGAAGTTCAGCTCTTACCATATCTTCTTCGTAAGGTATCGATTTGCTTGTTAACCAAGTTTGTATATCAGCTTTTTTCGTACTGGTGTTTGGTATTTTTTTCACTTTTCCTGCTATGATATGAAGCGTTGTCCATTATAATCACAGATTGTTCATCAAGATGTGTAACGATTTCCATAAACCACTTTTCAAAAACTTCACTGGTCATTTCTTCGTGATAATCCCCTGTTTTCTTCGATTCAAAACACAGCAAACCTTCCTCGACGAAGCCATCCTCGGACCCTATATGGAGAACAATAAGGCGATTTCCTTTGCCCGATGGATCTTTCAATCCAGTTGATAGCCCGTTGATAAATGCCTGTCTTGGAGTGAGAATTGTGGTGTCCTTCCATACTTTGCTTACAGTATGCCCAGCATTCACCCAAGTTTCATCTAGGAAATACAACTTCCTACCTTCTTCACGATATTTTCTAATTTCACGCAAGAACCGACGCCTCCAAGTAATTATTTCGTCCTTTTCCCTAAGAACACTATTGCGTGACCTCTTTTCGAATCTACAATGACAAGTACATAATATACATACACGTAAAGAAAAAAGGTTTACTGACCGAAAACCTATTTCTTTTATTAATTTCCATAAAGTAGTTCGTTTCAAATTGGGTAAGTCTTCGTCTTCGTGTAACACTGCCAAAACTTTACTCAGGGTAGGTGGTTCATTTCTTTCAAAGAAAGAATGAAGCAAACGTCGAAGAATACTTTTAGTTCCGGAATCAATATTGTCCAAAATTGCTCGTGGTCGATAATATTTTTTAGGTGAATGAAGTTCGTGTACCTCTGTATACTCCCGAAGAATCTTGTAGACACTCGGAATGCTTACACCTAAATTACACAATAATAAGTAAAAATGAATGTGCCTAAGATGAAAATTACCTGCTGCTTTAGCCGTAAACTCAACTTTATCCGTTTTAGATACCTCCGGGTTGTCTTCCGAATATGCCTTGAAGATATTTAAAATGCCAGTTTTGTCTTCAACTGAAAAGTGCTTGGCAGAACGTTTTTTCGGTGGAGAGAAAGCAGCACCGGCGACATTCATGTTTGCGTACAACTTTTCTTGATCGCGAATAATATAACCCTAAAAACAGGCATGTAAAAATCGTGTATAAAATTTTATAATTACTCACCTGACTATCTTTAGAATACACCGACGAGTCTTTATAAAGACTATTTTGTGTGAATAAAGGAGATTAATGGCAAATTGACGCAAGTAAAGATGTAAAAACGTAAAAACCGGCAGAAACGCAATAGGCAAGATGACAGATGACAGATTACTCAATTCGGCCAATTCGCTTTACAAGTGTGATTGTGGCTTCAAAAATTACACCAATAACAATGTCGTATTCAAATGTGGCGGTAATTGTTGAGGAGGGGCTTAACTATTTCTGTTGGGTGAACGAAATATAGTCTAAGCGAGGTGCGTTATTTTCTTCGGCATGGAATTTCGTACACGTACGTAAACAACTTTATTTCATATTTTATATTTAAATTTAGTATTGCATGTCGTAGGTTAAATTAATTTGATTTGCATTTTATAAGTAGTTATTCAAATTCATTTACATACGACATGCGTAACCAAATTTAAATATGAAGTATAAGCATAAAATATAAAATAACGCTTTTTGCATACGTGTACGGAATTACTGCTTTCGTGTTTCGCGAAAACATGTCGAAGAAAGCAATGAAAAGGATGCTCCATTACCTCCACGCATTTGGGATTGTATATCAAACAGCTGAGTTATTTCCGTATTGGTGCTGTGTTGAAGTATGATTTTATTTACACTAAAGATAAGTAATATTTATTTTTTAAGAATTAGGAGTTAATTGGTAAAGGAGGGTTGTATAAAGCTACAAGCAGGTATTTATAAGGGTCATAAGTAACGAGAAATGTTGAAAATCATCAATCAATAAGTTCGCAAGTACGGCGCAAGCGATAAATAAAAAGATATAAGGTCGATCTTAACATCCCCGTAGGTTACAAGTTACATAAATCCACAAAAGTTGAACCTTTGGGAAAAGAAAACATATAAGCTCTCTGAATTTCACGGGTGTTTATCTGTGTCTAACCTAACTTTTGGATAATTCATCACGATTGAAGGGGTATTCAGACAATTTGTTGAAAACTACTTCCAAAGTACGGGATACGGTGTCAGGTGTTGAAAAATTGATGTGTATTTTGAGACGTCAATTTTTCTCCAACATACATGCTGGACAACAATAAGTGCAACCTGTAACGGTAGCTTTTAATTTTTTTTAAAATTTCGTTGTGAATTTTAAGGAATTTTAAGCGTAGAGTAACTTAAACATTGTGGATCATCGAAAGGTACGAAGAGGTACGAAAATTATTTTCCAGATGGATAGTGGTTTTGTTAGAATTTGTCAACAGTCAACTGCAGTGCAAGGGATGTGCATTTATTACTGCGCTGTTCAATTTCTATGAGGCTTTGTTTCTAAATTGGTTTCGAAAATCTCTCAAGCCCTTGATGTTATATTTCGTCTTCTTAAAAGTCCTACTTAGTTACACCTGCAAATGCAGCAAGAGATAATTCGTTGGGTCATAAGAAGTAGAAATAGAGCTGGGCCGTAATGTGGTCTTCGGAGTCAACAGAAATACATTTTGTCTTCTCCTGCGTGTAGAGGCTTAGTTACATTTTCATGGCTCGAAAACTTCATTTGCATAAAATAAAATTGACCCCCTTCACGTATGTGAATTTAGTTGAATGAATATATAAATAGAAACAAATGTGGTCAAGTTCATTTCTTTCTTTCAAAGTTTTTTGATCTAAAATATCGGTTTGACTTATAAAAAGAAATACCAAAAAAATGCAATACCTGTCCCCTGATCACGCGTCATTGCTAAATTTAATCCTTATCTAAAATTCATTTACCATATAATAAATTGTTCTCCTGTTCTAAGTATACACACCCCTCCGAATACTAAACAAAATTTTAATCCAACCAAAGGTATTGTATCAGTGAAATTAAATGCAATTTTCCAACCAATGCAACAGAATAACCATTTGGATTCGATTGTTATCAATAAATATAATTCAAAATCTGTTTCATACAAATAATTTTCACGGGTCGATTTCTGTAGGAACATTAAAATTACTTCAAACAAAATTACTTATGCACATTCCTAAAAATAACCGACTACTACTACAAATCAAAAATTTCAAACAACCGACTGTAATCAGTTCCGCTTTGTTTTATCAATATGGAAAAAGGTCGCTTTTACAATAATAATACTCGAGATCATGATTATGCACAGGAATAGAATGCCATTGTTTATATCAATTTTGCCCAATTTATTAACTAGGTCTTGTCACAGGTAAAGGTATTTCGGATTTTTTGACCCGGATCAAACGGAATGAACACAACCTTTAGATCCAAAGAGATCATGGCAATCGCATTCGCTTTCATGTTATCGCCAGGTTTACTTCAGTTCAAGTTTACTGTGAAGCGATACATAATAAAATTTCCTATCTTCAACAAAATACAGATTCAAAACCAAATTTCTGAAACGGCAAAGTGACCACACATTACATCAAACGGCACAAATCCCACATCTGGAAGGAATACACTTCTGACTAAGTGAGCGGATTATTAGAGATTCCATGATTGCCATGGAAATGTCGCTTGAAATTACTTTTTTTTAATCGCCGCCGTCTTTAGAAAGAAAATGAATTTGAGTGAAACATATTAGACCGTCTATTCAGTGGTTTGTTGCAGCAGCAGAAGAAAAGTTGCTATGTTGAAAATCCACTAAAGTCTCTTGCAATTTGCAAAGAATATGAAAAGTTCTTGGCGATGGATGAATAAGAAGTATCTTACGAACAAAGTCTTATCGATATATTTGAAGGAAATGCCAAAGGTAATTAAATCGTCTATCTATTTGTACATTCATTTAAAACTTTAAACAATGCTATGATTTAAAAATGGAACAGATCTGGCGGCATAGGTACCCTAAATTACAGTGGTTTGTGCAAGCTTCAAACAAAAGATAGGTACAAGCCAAAGAATGCTTATGCATTTACAGACAACGACCTAAGAAGATTTCCTAGTTCAGCACCATAATTACCTAAATGTGTATGAATATGAATCTAGAGAACTGAATCTCCACATCCCACTCTGTCGCCTATCTATTACCAGAATTCGCCACTAGTGCGGGGCAAAACACTGTTTATACTGTTATAAAAATCCAGTTCAAGAAAAAAGTAAGACAACTTCCAACAGATAAATGAGCGTATAATCGAACTTTAATGTGTTTAATGTTAAATGTTGTGTTATCATTTTTATTATCTTTGTTTGTGCATTGCAGCGAATATTCTAGAAATCCCGATAGACATCGAGGGGACATAAAAGATTAGTCATCAGCAATTAGAAACGTAAGCGAATGTGACGCATTTTTTCTGGGAAATGTGGTGTGTTTGTTTGTTAGAGACCATTCTAGAATATTCGGGAGAGTTCGAGAACTTTCGAAAAAGACCGGCGTTTGCTATATAAGAAAATCAAATTGTGCTTCGAGTCATTTCTAACATCGATTCGAAGTGAAGTATTAAGCTCCCTCTCGTGTTAGAAATTGTGAGTGACTATTACAAACTAATCCATTTCAACACACGTGCATGATACTCTAATCAAACGTCTCATCGAAAGGAATTGGTTTCTACAAACTCTAAGTTTCATCCGCGGCTCCTTTTTAAGACGAGTGGGTAACGGAGAGAGGTGGCGAGATGTTAGAGGAGGGTACTCACAATGGGCGATTGGTGCGTTTGGAAGAAATACATCCATTTGTGATGTCAAATCTTTAAAAGCGAATATCTCGAAAAGTGTCAGAAGAGGTTAAGTACTCACAAAGGGCAAGGGGAACGTTTGGCCAAGACACATCTACTAGTGATGTTAAAACTTTCAGTGACAATATCTGCAGAACGGAGTGTCGAAGGAGGGTACTTAGCGTGAATATCTCG